GTATCGTACTCGTAGTTTTATATTTGAAAGTTGAAAGTGAATTTAACTTTATGACCGTGACTCATAACAATTATATCTAATCATGTTTTGTTTTTTTTTATGAGAAATAATTAAGATAATGTTTGTTTCGAATTAAATTCTCCTGTCTCGTATCCATTCCTATAAGTTTATATATTTTTTTAATAAATAACACCATTTACATGTAACTAAATATAATTTTAATATATGTAAAATTTCATATAATCGTCCAAAAGTAGAGATTTATATGTCCCAAAGTTGAATTTTGTTCAATATTTTGAGATTTTAAGAATTAAATATAACTACCAATTTTTTTTTTCAACCGGTTATCCAAACTTATATATCATATTTGTCAAGGATAGTTTAAAATTGTACGTATATATGAGATAATGTTTGTAGATATTTATTTATTATATCATATATATCATACCAAATTGACATTTTATTTTTTTCAATTAGATTAAATCATTAAAAATATAATCCATTTATTATTTAAAAATTGGTAATAAGTCGTTAAAATCATTTAAATGTGATATATCCACTTGTTATTTAGTTTTAATCTTAATAGAAATTCTATATGTTTATAATCTTAAAATGTAGTCTATAATTTGATAAAACAATTATTTAATATTTGATAATAGTAATGATATGCAAATTGCCAATGGATGAAGATTTATTTTGTTAAGATTGTGTGAAATTAATAAGAAAAAAAGAAATTTAGAATAATCATGGGGGAATTTCAAAAATACCCCTTTTCTAATACCACTTTTTAAAAATATCCCTCTTTCTAATTTTATCAAAAAGACACTATAAATTTTGAAATTTATCAAAAACATATGTGAAAACTTATATTTATAGACATAAATTATCTTTATATGTGTATAAATTCATATATATATATTTCATAAATACTGTATAAATACATTTTAAAAACCTTTTAAAAATCATTTAAAAACCTTATAAAAACTGTGTAAACCTTTTAAAAATCTTATAAATACCGTTTATAACCTTTTAAAACCTTATAAA